TATATATATAGATATGCGTTTGCGTTTGCGTTTGCGTTTGCCTGTTTATTTAAATGTCGCGATGTTCCGTATAACTATAACGAGTCGTTCGGTGTTTCGTGATAAATGTACCTTAACAGAAAAAATGTATACACATTACATGTGCCATCCTATTTTATTGATATAATCGTTTATATTATTACTCTATGTTAATGTACATTTTTTGTTTATATAAGAGCGCACAAAATAAAACTTAAATGTCTTATTGTTACAATTGTCTGTGACGAAAAATTTCCAACTTATTGCGATGCAGGAATAATGTACAATATTCGAAGGACCCATATTTTGATTCTATATAACTTATCTCGTACGCACAACTTTTACTAAATATTACAAATGAAACGGCGAATCTGAATTCCGTATGCGTCATCGCTTAAAATAGTATGATGGCGAAATTAGAGAACAAAAAGAAATAGATAATGTATAGATGATTAGAAAAAGAGTAGATGACAACTGTTTGGTTCGTGTACCAAATGAGAAGAAACATCGCGAAACAGTCTAGGGCACTCTCGTTAAATAGTACAATTTGTTTGTTACTTGGTATATTGTTTCAAAAGTTGCTTCGCCATACGACGCGTAGACACAACATGGTTACATGTAGTACGTATGGGACAGTTTTTACCGTTCATTGCCCTACGTAATCGTATTAGCGTTTAATAACAAAATATAATTAATTCAAATATATTTGTCCTTAGAAAAAGAATTTTACATCGTTAGTGACGTTGCTATTCGAACATGATACTTCGCATTATAATGCGTGAGTGATCGCATAAAATGTAAATATACTTCGTATTAATAATTTTTTTTATAGGCGTGTTTATGTATGTGTGTGTGTGTCTGTATAGGTCAGGAATATGCAGCTCTAGGATTAACCAAGGAATTAGACTGAAGGCCACCCTTTAATATTTTACAGTCTATTTTATCTATGTCTGATAACAACAATAAAAATTCTTAAATAAATATATCGGTATAATCATTGATGGAATATTATTACGCAATCAACTAGTTTCTTGTTTTTTTTTTTTTTTTTCGTTTGTCTGTTTGTTTGTTTGCCAAGAGTTGTAGGTTTACGTGTTTGTTTCTTTCTTTAGTTGCGTCTTAAGCATAATAATATGCATACACATGTACACGGCACGTCAGTCATCATACGTCAGTACAAGATGACCCATCGTATAGAGTACCACAAAATTACGTGAAATTCAGTAAGACAAGACACATGTATCACTGTGCTGATCATTGCTATTTTGCTCTGCCTTGAGTCGCACCCGACCTGGTCGTAGGCTTTGCCGGTTGTGGAATAATCGTTATTTCGTCATTGATCTTCAATGGTTTTAGAAGGGAATCATTGGATCTGGACGACGGAGACGAAGGTGTATTCTTCTTATCCATTACTCGCTTAGCTACGACGCTATGCGCTGAGTATACGTGATTCTCAAACTGCTTATACATTCCAAATGTGGCAGTGCAAACTGTACACTTATAAGATAGATGCGCCGGCTTTAACGTCATCCCGTGATCTCGCGCAACGTGATTCAGTAATTTCCATTGATATACCTAAAAACATCAAACATCCAGAATCCTCAGAACATCGAGCTTCAATTCCGTTTGTACGTTTTTCAATCTTCCGCTTACGCGTACGCGATCTTAAACTTACGATAACTTGATATTGCAAACTTACCCTGCCGCAAGCAGGACAACGCCCTGCATCCTTTCCTCGATTTGCAGCTTCCTGCATACTAGACGTGACCAAACCGTGAGATCCAAGTAAATGTCTTTCTAAACCCTGTATCAAACGTGCGACATCGTTAAAAATTTATTTTATGATATTTCTGATAAAAGAGCGAACACGTTCGCATAATAGTATGCTTGTATGTACCTGATCCGTGAAAAATCGGAACTGACATTTTTGGCAATTCAACGGAGGTCTATTGTATATCATCTTTGGATGTATTTTCACTTTGTGAATCCATTGCATATGATTACGCAGTTGCTCTAAATCCTAAAAAAAAAACATACAGGTCTTTTTACGCAGAACCTTAAGTACAGTGACAATCGCGTTATCCCTCTTTTTTATAAACTCTTGGCTCATGTAGTGATACACGAACGTATGTAACTTACTTTAATGTAACCATCGCAAATCTCACATATAACGAAGGTAGTCTTTCCTCCAGACTTTGACGAAGTCCCAGAACCGGGAATCGAAGTTTGAGACGTCGTACGCGGTAGTGGAGTTATGGATATACTTGGCTGATTTAATAACTTTGCAGTAGGATTTTTGGGACTCGCTGTCGTATTCTGAAAAATACAAAGTACCCTCGTTAACATTAAAACATGATCGAGTAGAACGACGGCGGATACGATCTCGTAATTGAATGACACATGTGTGTTTTGTCTACAAATTTTTTTCGTCTTAAGTTATCGGTAAACGCAACTGGCAGTGGAATTGTTAATGGTCGAAAAGTTTTTACCGATATAGGATCGTATCGAGGAGATTAGATAAATGTTTGTGATGCGAAACGCTATTGGGGGTCACGATACATCGCTGATGAAACAGGGACGATTAAGACAAACTACTTGCACACCGATGATACGCTTAGCCATAACTTTACGCATATTGTCAAGTTCTACGTATAAGCGAACGTTTACTGGTTTAATATTATTGTCAATCACAATGATTCGGTTATGGAAGCTTTGTTTTGAGCCTGCAAAACACATTGTTCATGCGCTAATAAATCATGTAAAAAACCAATCGAATCTTTTTGATTAGGTTTCCGACGATTATTATTTACCTGTGATGAGGACAATCTAGAGAGAGAGTCGATTACGTTGGGTACAAGTGCAATGGGTGTGGGTTGACCGGAACTGCCGCCGCTACTGCTACTCACTCCCGAGACAGCCGACATGACAGTCCCAGAGCCACCCATCACCTGCCACCACCCATACATTTTTTACTGATTCTTACATTCCTATTTACTTTTAATTTTGAGAACCTGCAGTTCTATGTACGTACGTATACTAAGATCGACGAAAAACAAAAATTGAATGAGGAAAAAATGAACGAAACAAATAAATAAACACGCGCTGCCAATCGATAGATGTAAAACGAAATCACGAAATGCGATCGAACGAAACGTGTATGAGCAAAGAAGAGATATTGATAATGTTTCGTTGTCGCCATGAAAAAGAATACATACGTAGGAGGAAGAATGCATTTTTACCTGAAATATTTGGTTACTACCAAATTGATAGGAAGTCGGGACCAATAAACCGGACGACGTCGGACGATACATCATTCCTGAAACGTTATCTAAAAGCATCGTATCGCATTAGAATCGAATCGTCGAACGTTGAACGTTGCATTCAATGAAAGAGGTATCTTACCTTGTCGCATCGACGTACCACCCGGTCGTAACGATTTAAGATCGGAAAAGCGGGGCTGCATGGGCGGTCGTCCTCTCCCACGGCCTGTGATCGGAGCGGGAAGTAGTTTTGGTAAAAGCGGCTGAGCTCCTTTGCCACTCATTGCCATTGCAAGCGCGCTGGAATTCGTCGGTCCGACGACGGGTCTCGTTCGATTTAATCTTGGAATCTTCGCCGGTGGCTCCCAGTCGACGGCCGGTTCCAGATTCTTTTCTGGTCTGAATTTCTTGGTGCAGGCGAGTATGTGCCGAGTCAATTTGCCCTTTTGATTGTCCTCGAACGGACAGTTGGGACATTGATGAAAAGCTGGGCCGCGCTCCAACCTCCCGCGAGTATTATGTTCCGCCTCCATATGGAATAAGATGTCGTGAGGGCTACGCACTTCGATCGGACAGAAATTACATTTGTAGACGTAATTGCGCATATGCGGAGTTTCTAAATGATGCTGCATGACCAGGGTCGATTCCGTTTTAAAATTACAGAATTCGCATTTCTTCAGTTCTAAATGGAATGGTTCGTTATTTTCTTTACTAAATTCTAGATTCTTAATGAGCGAATTTATAGCTATTTGAGTCTCGGCTGATGTGCTACCTTTGCCCTGTTTACGTTTTTGAGTCCGTAAAAGATCGGTTTGCACATATTCCTGAACAAGATTCACTCCGATTTGCATGAAAAATTTGCCCAATGGTAAATCGAAATACGTCAGCATTTTGTTTTTGTCGTCTTGCCTTACGTCTTGTTTGTCACTTATACTACTAAATCCAGATTCGGTTATATCTAATGAACTGTCAGCACCTCTGTCGTCGCCATCCTTTCTACTACTCTTCGAACTACCACCTTCGTTCTCACTTTCGTCTCCTTTATCTTTGCTTTTCTGATTGCTCTCGTCCATCGAGTCCTCCTCGCATTCATCTGCCTTGATCTCTTCCGCGTTCCTTTTGCTCTCTTCTTTTTCTTGTTCCGCCAAGCATTTTTCTAATTTCGTGACGAAGTTTTTCAATGGCTTCAAAGGCGGTTTTTCATACACGTACGGTACTATGAAAGACGGAGCCTCCACCACGAACATATCGTCAGTCAAAGTAGGTAATATAGGAGGTGTCACGGTAGGTGTTACGGTGGTCATGCTCGTGGTCTTGGGACTTAATTGTGCGGTTTTCGATGTCATGGGCACCGGCGTGATGGTTGTCCGCATGTTAGGATACATGGTTTGCGTTTGCGTTATTCCCATTGGGACTACCGAAAACGAGCTGGTACTAGAAACGTTATGGTGAGGCTTATTGCTGCTGACGGGAACCCCACCGCGTCCAGAGAGTATGGAATTCGTGTCTATAATAACTAAAGTAGGTTCTTTCTTCCCTCCCTTGATGGACTTGCTACCAGCAGCAATTTCGACTAATCGTTTCGTGTCGTTGACCACGATAGTAGTTTTGCTATTTTTCAATGGTGATTTCAGTTTAGAGTTTTCCTTGTCTTTACCGTCGACACCAGCCAGGGGATCTTCCGGTTTAATTTCTTCGATGTCCGATCCATCATCGTCTACCTCCTCTTCCAGTTCTTTTTCTATGTAACTCGTCCTCTTTATGTTACGAGTACTTCTTCTCGGCGTGATATTACTCAGGTCCACCTTTCTCGATTTCCTCTGTTTTTCTTTGTTCGCACGTTCCGGAGAAGTGTTCAAACCATTCTTTGCGCTGTCCGTTATTTCTTCTATGTCTGGACTGCCGCAACTTCCGTTTTCTTCACAGATTTTCACATCAGACGTGTCGAGACTGCTGTCAGCGATCTCGCTACTGTCGTTAAGCTGAACGTCGCTACTGCCCGACACATTTTTGTTCTCAGGGCAAGTATTCTTCAAAGTGAACACATCGTCGTTATCCGAATGTATCTCGGTTATGCTCTCGTCCAAACATTCGACGTCTGAATTGTTACTCTGTTCATCAATGTCCATAGCCTCGTGCGAGGTGCTCTTACACTTATCATCAGTCTTAGACACTTCACTAAAATTGTTCATCTCACTGACACCCGGTGACGATCTAGACATTTTCGAATCATTCTCTGACTCGGACATTTCACTTTCTTTACTTCTACTTTGCTCCGTTCCATTTTCATGCTCACTATTTTCAGAGTCTATGCCCCTCTCTTCTATCTCAGCTTCCATTCTGTGCTCGTCCTCGTCGCCTTCGTTTCCATTTGCTTCCTCCCTCTCCACCTTTACTAAGCTACCAGCTTCTTTCGATCCATAGACCTTCACGTCTACGAATTCTTCTTTGTCGCTATAATTTCCATTTACCCCATTTGGAATCACATCTGCAAACACAACGAAACGACGTTACACTCAAACTCATTGATGACACTTGAATTGAATATGCACGGCAAGTGTACAGAGAAAAACCAATGAGAAATGATCGAAAATCTCAAATGTAAATAGAGGAAGTGGTGTGAAGAAGAATCGGTGTATGAGAGCTAGCACGTTCGAAGAAGTTAGAATCGAGTGCCTACCTTTGAGAACCTTATCAGGACGGGCTTGAGACGAGTCCTTAACAGGGGGTTCTTCCAACGTGCCTTCCATGGGGCCACCACTGTATGGTTGATCTAAACAATTAACGAGAACAGAGAAGATGAGTGGTTCGTGGCGACCAGGACGCGTTTCATTACATCCACGACGTGAACGTGAACGCGAGGACGGGGAGAGGGAGGGAATTTTTAGCGGGGCCGAATTTTTCAAAATGGCGCTGCGAATTCCGTACTCCTATTTCCTTGTTCCCATAACCAACAAAGTTACGTGGTACGGACGGCCGCCTTTCGACTCGTGGCGTCGTCCAAGTCGAAACCGTGCGCCTCGGTGCATCCACGAAATCGCGATCCCACGGGCGTACGACTACGAACACGATCAGAGGGGATAAGGGAGTCACCCGTGAATCAAAACGATCGGACGAAAGTCAGAGTCCTGCGTGAAGTAGCTTGAATGGTTAGCGTCGCTCAGTCAGTCACCTGCACTCACTCGCCAACAACCGCGTCCGAGCGCCGAGCGCCAGCCAGTCAGCCCTCCACCGTGTCTCTTCGTCTTCGTCTCCGTCTGCGTCACCTCTCTTATAGTCACACAATCTTCACGTCCACAACAACCTTCGCAACCTACCGAACCTACACTTATACCTACACCTTGGACAACCTACACATCGAACTTCCCCCTTTTGTACGCATCGTACGCTTTGTACGTGCGTTCGCGTACACGCACACACGCGCGCTCTATCATCCAACTCGTGCCTATCCATGGTCCATGGATGAGCGCGCGAGCGCACAACCTTCCGAACTCCACTCTATGCTCTATACCAGACTTCTATACTATGCGAGTGTGTACAGTACGTATACCGCATGCCGGACAAACACGCCAACCACCTACGAAACTACCCTATGACCTACCGAATCCGATCATAACACGGGCCGATCTCCCACGACGATGCTGCTGCACTTCAACGGCTGCACCTTACAGACATTCAATTTCAACGGTTTAATGCACTCTGCGCGACCGAGAGAACCCGCGTACCAGCAAACATTTTAACACGGATCAGAGTACGCGGTACGGGCGAGAAACTGGACGATGAACGCGGACCATTTTCTGTGTGTCTACGATCTCTCGAGTCGCTCGAAGACTGTTTCGTTATTTTCTCAAATGGTCCGAAACTTCACGGGAAATACTGATCTCGATTCGTTGAGTGACGAATGAAACTGAGTAGAAACTCGGAAAATCCATGGCGTTCTCTCGCTTTTAACCTACGCTCACGTTCGATCTCGATGTCTCGAACAGCGTGCGATAACGTTAGGCGAAAGAGAGGTGAACGTGACGGAGAACGAATTCATATAGGATAATCTGAAACACGTTGGCATGGGATTCCGGTACCCTCGGTTCGGAGCATGTCTCGTGCTACTTAACTCGCTATTCACGAATCCCGGTTCTACATGTAGCTAAGTAAAGGTAATGGAACGCGCACGAAACTTGGCTCCATATCCTGTCACCAGGCAGGCTGGCAGGCAGGCAAGTAAGCAAGCAAGCAGACAGGCAGGCAGGCACAAATATACGCACCTGACCGGTTGCTCTCCTAAGCGATTCTCTGATAGCGCGACATTTTTTCACAACCCGCGATCTTCGATGCCGGCGGTGGAGTTACGGATTCGTCCTTATACGCACGATACACGATTTATTCACAAAACCTGTAAATAGTGAACATTCATCGCTGAAAATTAGGCACCAGAGGGCAGCCGCGACGTTGGAAACGTTAAAAACTTATGTCCAGGGCCGTCGACGAGTCGTGGGCTTTTTTCACGAGGGTCAAAGTTAAAGCAGAACCGAGATTAGAAAGACGAAGGGATCGCGTCGGATCGGAAAAGACATTTTTTCGTTTTCCTTCTATTCACGTGTGATATTCGATGACCGTCGTCGGTTCGATCCATGCGCAAACGTTAGAATGTTCTATTGAAGTTCGCGCGAAATGTTACAACAAATTATCGTGTAAAGAAACGAACGAATGTTCTACTTAGATTTCCATGAAGACCATATAACGTACTGTGAATCCTCCTTCTTTCGTTTCTTTATTTATCGTAAATTCGCAAATATAAATCAAAGCAAAACTGCATCGAGTTCTGCTTCTGTAACTTTGTTAAAACAAAAATTATTCGAATCATATATGATAAACAGAATGCGAAGTGTTAGTAGTTTCCTCAGAATTCTACTTTGCATGGGTAATTTGCTGATCATGCTTTTAAGTAAGCAAAATAATATTGCTGGATCATGTTATTAAATGAATAAGTATACATGTATTGTACTCTTTTGCTTATTAATATTAATCGACGATGATCAATTTTAAAGCGTAATCGTTGAGCCGAAGATGAGAAGCGAGAAGAAAATATATTTTGATACCAGCTATACACTTGAAACGTGTGATGTTATCGAAAGCAAAGTACTACATGTGTATCGTAGATACGATTCGTAGGAGCAAAGTTACGCGGATGGCTGTATTTAATAGCGATCGATACTTATATCATAAACGAGTAGCATTGCTCTGACTATGACAACTTATTTATGGTACGCGTTAAGGAGAGGTTGATTGTAGTTCAGATTTCGAAACGAATATACGGATTCATTGAGGCAATCCGTTTAAGTAACAAACTGAGACAGAAGAGGAGTCAGAAGTAACAGGGAATGCAAAAGGATCGTTACGGCCCTGGTTGTATTGTGTTATTCTGTAGCACACAACTGTACAAATCATAAAATTCAACAAATCAATCGCAAGTCCCTTGGCATTCAAATATACAGACGATGTTTTCTATTCGCTTTGTCTATGATCGGAAACGGTATTACTCGTTTTTACTGATTTAGCGAGAAATTCGAGAAAGCTGCCGCCATTTCTTCGTACGTAAGTGTATAAGGGCTGGCTTAACTGTCGAACGGCGGAACAGCTGCCGTGGTGGTCGCGAGCCGATCGCGATTATCCCCCCAAAAAGAGGACCGATAATCGAAACACGCACACATCGGGAATCGCCGCGCTATTTAAATTCACTGACCGTTCGTAGGCACTAATAAATATCCGGCCACGCACACGGACTCCTCCGACACTTGATACACACCGTTTTTATATCGAAATTATTCACATATATTTTCTGTTTATTTGGGTACGACGTCACGGATCCTTCTTACCTTCGTCGTCGAAAACGGCCAAGATGGCGACAGTAATCACGTGACCGCAAATTTTATGACGTACGCGTACTGTTAAAATTAAAGGGACGAAACGACCAGTAACGTTTGTTATACATTGTCACGTGACTGGGTACACGTGCACGTCCAATGAGAGTCTCTCCCAAGAATAAGGACAATCTTCAATTGTAACAATGTAGATGTGCATAATATGTATTTTCAATATGTCATATTCCTCGCGTATAAAAGTTTACTTATTTTCATCCATACCCACAGGACAAAGTACTACAGTTTCGTTGATTTGTATGATTTCATTATTTAACATCACAATATAAAAACGACATCTTTGTAAGTATACTACCAGTATCTTCAGTCTTTGTTTATTCGACATTAAATGAGTATAAAAGTTTATTACACAAAATCGTGTATACAACGATATTTACATTTTATGTATTTACAAGTAAACGTTAAAGATTATCATCATCTTCCTCATTGAAGGATAACACGGTTCTTTCTTGTTTTCTTTTCATCTTCTTTTTTACTGGTTTATCAGCAGCATTTATCTCTGCATCTGCTGCTTTGTTTTTCTTACTGAATATTATTCTTTTGGACAAATCTGCTGGTGCACTGGCATCCTCTACGATGAAACATTTTAACTATCATAAAATTGCTCAATTATCTCTTTCAACGTTGATACCTTCTGACTTCTTTTTCTTAAATGCTTCTGCTTCTTTTTCTGTCAAATGTTCTGGATTTAACACAACTACAACAGGCTTCTCTTCGTTACGTTCTTCTTCATCGTTATCCGAGTCTTGTGGTAATACTTCTCTCTGTTTCAATAAGTAATTTATGTAAGTGTGTACTTGAGCGTAGTCACAAATCGCTTAGACGCATAATGCGATAAGATTTGTCGCAAATTATGTGATATATATTTCCAATTATTTATACCGAATAATAATAAAATGTGAATACTGCAACCATTAACTTGGAAATTGACAATAACAACATGTACCTTCGTGTCAATCGTAGGTCCTTCCTTGTATCCGATTCGTTCCTTTATTTCACGTAAAAATTTTGGTTCGTTCGGTTTGATATACGATACGTTGTGTTTTTTCCTCGACATTTTGCCACTAGCATACATTAAACGTCAAAATCAACCTCAACAACATATCGTATCGTAACGTAACACCGTATGCTGTATATACATACACAAACGATTACTTCTATACTTTCGCTACTAGATGACGCTATTATGTCAGTATCAATATCAATAGGGCTCAGTAGGGTTGGTGATGTTTAAGGGGAGGGATCTCGGTGCATCCTGTGTTTCGAAAGACGCTTGCATCAATGTTTAATAAATTAATTTGCCTTCTATTCCCATTTTCCGCATCCGTGTCGTTTACAAAAGTTACAGTGACAGGGTGATCGTGCGTAACATCCATCTCCAAATAAAAGATTTGTATCATTTATTCTTTTCATATGACATAACGATAATATTCTCGTTAACTTTTACACGATCAACTATCTATAAAAATGTAAAAAAAATTCTCAAAAGTTGCGAACATGGACAACCGATTTCAATTGCCCGGAAAACATCGCGGTCGCTAAGAAACTATTCGTTGGTCTAACGATGATACTCTACTCTGAACGAAACTCGTAAATAAGCGTAAATATTCGAAAAAGGTCTCGAAAAGAGTGGTCCATTCCTCGATCGTTCGGCGAGATTACATTTGTTACTATTCGTCACGGTAAAAAGCTAAATACAAAGGCTTAAATGCGAACGAGTACGCGTTAGATACGTCGTTGTTATCTGCCAGAAATCGATACGATAATTATTATTAAGCGAGTATTTTTTTTATTTAGAGTACAATTTTCTAAGGAGGAGGAGTGATTTTATAGGCGCGTCACTTCGGAGTTGTTTAGTGCCCTTAGTTTTCCGTCCGAATGGCTAGACCGACGATGTCGCACGTGTGCCTGTGTGCTGATAATGTATCCGCTCTCTTCCTGACGATTGTGCTTTTCCATTTGGATCACCGGTACGCATCTCGGTGCCGGACCGTCCAAACATTCGCAGCTCAAGCTTGCGTCCAGCCCGCTCTGATATTGCGCGGGTATCAGCAGGCTCTCCGTGGATTTGGTGGGTTGAAAGTGCCTGCTGGAAGTACTAGAGTAGGTCGTACTGCTACTTGTCCTCCTCTGAACGGTACCAGTCGGCGTTTTTGCTCGTCCGTGGCCGCTTTTCCCGGGTCTCTCGGCGCTGTGCGTTTTAACGGTAGCCGTGTCCAAGTAACCGTATCCAAAACCATAGCCACCGAACGCTTTGGTGGTCAGATTGTCCCAGGATTTTGGCTTGGCATACTGAAGGCACGGCGGTGGTCGTTGATGGACGCTCGGATCCCAGTAAAGGGTGTCCGTGCTTAGGCTCGTTGAACAGGAAGCTACGCTTTCCGCCGCGGTCGAAATATCGCTACTCGTTACGGAATGTAGACTATGACCAGACGTTCGCGAACAACTATGCGTTCCATGTTGTTGCTGCTGCTGTTGCTGCTGCTGTTGCTGCTGTTGTTGTTGTTGTTGAGATTGCTCTCGTTGTGCGTGGTGATGCTGTTGCTGTTGCTGTTGTTGATGATGATTCTGCTCGTTTCTCGCTCGTCTTTGCTTCTCCCGACGCCGGCGGCTAGGTACGCAGTTTGGATCGCAGCACGGACTGGCCAGATCGTACGCGTCCAAACTACCGCTGTCCGATTGTTCCCTTCGACGTCTGGCACTAGAAATACAAGCTACGCATAAACTATTTTGCGGTGGAGGATGAATGGAAGGTTGATCGCCACCGCCGCCGCCGCCGCCGCCGCCTCCGCTCGATTGTTGTTGACAGGATTTGTGCGATTTGGACTTTGCCGGCGTACTGTTCATTCCGTTTGCTTGGTGGTAGCTGTGACGCGAAGATGCGGTAGCACCGGAATCGCTCGACATCTTCGAGAGGAAGTGGTGGTGGTCACTTCGCGAACGTGGAGGGCCCACGGCTACCAAACAGGCGGCATTCCGTGGAATCAAACAAGGTCGTCCATCGGGAAACTGTAAAGGCGTTTATTAACTTTGTCAACGTGCCACAGATGTGTATATTTGGATCAGATCTAGAAACGAGTCGTACCACGTTGTAGAGTAACAGATGTTCCGTGGACGTAGCCGGTCGACAACACTGAATCGTCGAGGAATTGAAACTAGACGACGGCGAAGGTTGATCGGGGTTGCCCGCGATCACACTGTTAGGCGTTCTCTTTCTTGCTGGCAGTGAATGAGTTTTCCATCGACCCATGAGTATAGACCGTTCCCTCTCGCACAGTCTCTCTAATTCGTTCAGGCGAGATTGAAGGGCGCGTTGCAATTCGATGTAACGCATGTGCAATTCCACCTTAAAGAAAATCATCAATGATCGCGGTTCACGTTAGCGAACCGTTTTGATATTCACCTTTCTAACGCAGTCTTCAAAGGACACGACCATCCGCATCCTGGTATCACAGTTCTTGATGAAATTGACCAATGTCTTGTGATCGGCCCTGTCCATTTCGTGACCGTTTATCGATAGTATCACGTCACCCTCTCGCATGCCAGCCTTAAACGCTGGCCCATCATACTCCACGTAATCGACATACGTGACCATCTCGATTTCTTGCTCCCTTTTGTAATGTATCCCATAGCTCTGTCCATACAAATTCGAATCTTTATTTTTATCTCTATCACGCTGCGCTGGCTTCCGTTACCAAGCTAGATAGAGTCCAGAATGCATATTACCTGTAACGTGAAACCATACGTGCCATTCTTCTTTTCGACAATAATGGTACGACGTCGCCTGTCCTCATCCGTTCGCGTCACACGATCCGACTTAGACCTCTCGAGAACAGCCTACGAAGGAAGAGTAGTGAACCTTCGATAAGCTAGAAAAATGAAATTTCGACGTACGCGTCGATATTCTAATATCGCATAATACTTGAACTTATGTTTCGTCGAACCAACTTTGCTAAAATCTTAGCGAATCGCAACTAAACAAGAAGTAGCGATCGACCGTAGCGAAAATTAATGTAAGGATCTATCGTAGATACATTGAACAAAGTTCGGACAGCGACGAGAACAAAAGCGATGACAGCAATAACAATAATAACGAAAGATAAGAATCAGGTAATAAGATTCAACACACGTTGTGCAATCCACAGAATTTCCTTGACCATGAAAAACAACTCGAAATGGGCAACAAGAAACTGCTCGAGGAAGGCTGTTTCAGCAAATAAAAATCATTCTTTCGATACACGAGTCGATGCAATAACATTACACATTCCACGACACCACTCCATTCCTCCTCGTCGCTGTTTTCGACGCCGGCGCCGGCGGCACGATGCTGTTGCCCGGCCACCTCGGTATTCTGCGGCGAGTTGTTCATGATATCCCTTTTTAAGGAACGGAAACCGAGATGGAAACGAAAATGAAACTACCCGATCCGAATTCGACCTTCCGCGGAGAAGAACGAGAGGAAGCACGTTGCTCGAATGTTGCGTGGGCGAGGGTTGCGGGTGATATCGAGGCAGGGCGTGTGATCGCGCGCGAGTGTCTCCGCTTATTCGCACGCGAACCCGGTCTTCGCACTTTCACGTTTCTCCCATCGTCGCGGTCACGTTATCACGCGGCAGCTGCGAAAGCGGCACTTCGCGAGGTTTACGCACATTTACGCGCGATTGTGTCTACGTTTTTTTATTGTTATCTTCCCTCCCGGCTGGCTGGCCGCCGCGCCGTACCGCACCGGCTTCCAACGCGCCTGCTCGACAATATCGGCTTACGACCCCTGTACCGCGGCGGAAGCCGGGAGACGAGGGAGACGGAGGGACCGCAAAAAGGGAGAGTATGGCACGGCACGCGCAGTCTCGTCACTCTCACCCTCACGATCCCTCTTCTTGCATCCCCCTTCCCTTCTGTCTTCAATCATCCACCTTCCGCCTCGTGCCGGTACTTATATTCTCCCTTCACCCCTTCGCCTCATCCGAACGGGAATAACTCCTCGCGTGCAACGTTCTTACAGTTGCAGTTTGCACGATTTTCGACCTTACGGACTATGGATTTCCTCGGGGCAACGAACATTTTCGCTCCCGATCGATCCTCGTTCCTTCTATTTCAGTTTTGCTTCGACGGAACGACCATCTGATGGAAGCAAACATTTTTGTGAAAAGTATTTATCTCTCTCAATCTTTAAGGACACGAAAATTTTATTCTGGATATCTCCGTCCATATCGATGCTGCGGGAAAGGAATACGGAAGAGACTGCTCACTGGCAAAGGCGAAACTCTCGCCTTCGCGTTTCTCTTATTTTCTGTCTGCATATTTCCATTTCGGTACTTCGCCGAATTCCCAACGCAACGAGGTGACCAGAATAAAGTACGATTCCCCCTGGTCGCGGCGCTTTAAATATGTAAGAGAGTAGAAAATATTTCAATTTCCCTCGAAAAACGAATACAGCCTGGATCGCTTCGGAACAAAGGAAAGATGTAAAAGAAGAAAAGAGTAATCGGGATGTATGACACGTACGCGACATACTTTTCATAACGGATCTTCTACTTCTTCGGTCTCTTCCGCCTCACAGTTCCAATCTTTTTGTCGACTTTCTGCCGTTGTTTCTTCGCAGGCGCTTTGTCCACCGTTGTCGCATACATTTTCAAAGGCGGCAAAGGCGGAGGCTTTGGTTTCGGAACTGGAACGTGTCTGCGCGAATTAATCATACATTTCGTTATTCTGGCGATACAGATTTTTAAATTGCAAATGCTGTTATTTTCTCTGAGGAACCCGGTAATTTACTACCGTTTACTACCATTTACTACTGTTGCTATAAGATCGTTCGCCTTTCAAAGAGATCGGATTATCTTTAACTACCGAGGAGAGATTACTAGCGAGTGGCAAGCTTAGAGGACTTCGTGCCGCGTGAAAAGGCCTGCAGTTTTTAACACTCTCTAGAATATATTGCCACCGAAAGAAGAAGTAGAAAGCAAATCACTATCCTACTTTGTGTAGGATTATGTCCCTTAAATTTTTTGTGGAAGAGTAATAAGGAGAATGCTTTTCATCCTAGCGAAAAATACTTCCGACAAAAGTTGTAGTTGTAGATGTAATTATCAGGTAAAAAAAGGGTCCTATTTAATTACCCCGTAGGCCCAACGGATTAACTAAAATGTGTTGCCAACAGTTTACTGTTTCGACGTTGAGAACGGCCGGATCAATATCACTAAAATGCCAATTGGTCATATCTAACTTAAATACTGGAATTAGAAGGAAATGATATACGACTTTTTAATAGCAGTACCTACAACTTTTATTTGAAGCATTTGTCGAAATTTTGAGAAAAACAAGTTTTTACTTTACGATCTATTGTCAAGGGATCCTCTAAAAAAATATATGTATTTTCGACATCGGACAATAATAAAACGTAATCTTATAATAAAATATAATGTACTTATTTAATAAAATGTAATGTACTTGAAAGTCATTTGTATTTCTTGGATCGACCTATCCTTCGTGACATTGATCCAAATGTTCGATTGCGTCCTTGGTTTTAGACAGTATCCCTTTTCTATACAACATTCCGCGTGCTCGCGGTCCGCCTGGGCTTGATACTTTCGATCCCAACAGTCCTCCCATTTTCTCAAGCGTTCTTTCTCCTCGGCCTCGCGTTTCGCCACTCTTTCCCTAGCTTCTCTCTCCCTCTTCTCCTTTAATTTGGAAGACCGCTTTCTTTTCTTCTTACCTTTCTCTTCGGACATTCTCGCTTCACCGTCCTCGCGTTTTACGTATTCCACGCGTCTATTCGTTCCGCGCTAATCGCCGTTTCCGGCAGTTAGAATCGCGCGAAACTCATCTCTTTAATTGCGTTAACGACGTTATGTAGATCGAGAAACGCGCGAACGAATGCCGCTTCCCATCGAAGACCTTCGACACATTTTCGGTGAAATTCTTAAGGATGTATTGGCTATACAGTCAATCCCAAAAGTTTATGCACTTTAGAAACGCATTTTTTAAAAAGAAATCAGACGTCGGAAGAACATTGCTAATAATAAACAACAAAAAAAAATTTTCGTTTTTTTCCGAGATTTTTCCAAGGGGTACCCCTTCAATTTCTTCCAAATTTTCGTTTTTTGCCCATAACTCCTAAACCGTTGAATCTACGGGAAAATTGCATCAGACCTTTCTTGTAGAGGACGACGAAATCTACAATTAGCATGTAAAAATTTCTCGCTAGCGTCAATAGTTAACGAGTAATTTGCAAAAAACTGTTTTTTCGTTTTTCGTCAATAACTCGCTAAATATTGATGGTAGTGAAAAATTTTTATATGGAAATTGTAGATCTCGTCGTCCTCTATAAGAAAGGTCTGATGCAATTTTCTCGTAAGTTCAACAGTTTAGGAGTTATTGAGGAAAAACGAAATTTTTTTCCAAAAGTTCGCCGTATCGACGCTGGAACGGTCGGATTTCGTCAACATCAATAAAATGCCAAATAATCATACGTAACTCGTTAAATACTCAAATTGGAAGAAAAATACATAAAACTTTTCGTGTAGAACACGTCAATAGCTACAAAAAAACATTTCGCCAGCGTCAATAATTAATTGGATATTTCCTTCTATACTTTTCATCACGTAGCTATTTATTATTAGCATTATACTTCCGGCGTCTGATTTCTTTTTAATTATGGGAAATGCGTTTTTCTAAGGTACATAAACTGTTGTATACCCAATACATCCTTAAGTAACGAAAAAAATCTATCCGATAAAGCGATAATGATATTTCATTACGGTTAAGGACGCGAGATTCGAGAAGAGATTATTTACCAATTACCGGGAGCACGTTCATGATGTTCTGATCTCGTTCGTGCCAGTCTGTCGTGCGTGTCATACTCACAGAGAATTTTAAGACATGGTAATCGAGCTGCGAATAGTTACATAACACGGATACAGTTTTCCAGGGTTATGCGTCGAAACAAAAGAGAACGTTAGAAGATAATTTCAAGGCTCTGATCGCAACAATTCGCTAATCATTACGTTTCGTGCGGGGCACGGGTAGAAAATTACTTTTTTATCCTTCTACCTCCCAGGGCATAGACGCCGTTTTCGCTTTCACTTTTTACCGCACGTGCAGCTGTAGTCCTTCACGGGACAGCCACACTTTTTGGTGGGCTCTTTTTTAAACAAATCTTCGAATCTGTCCTTCTTGGGGCTACAGCAAGGTGGGCACTGCGGGGGTGGACAGAACGGCGGTGGGCAGAACGGCGGTGGGCAGAACGGCGGTGGGCAGGGTGACGGGGGACAGGATGGCGGGGGACAAGGTGGCGGGGGACAAGGTGGTGGCGGACAATACGTAGGTGGACAGGGTGGCGGAGGACAGGGTACCGGAGAACAAGGTGGCGGCGGGCAGGGTGACGGTGGACAGGGTGGCTGAGCGCAAGGGCTGCACGTGGGTCCAGTACCCGGACGTGCCGAGCCAACTTGTCCATTTTGTGTGCAGCAACACGGGCCTTTTTTACGGCCAGCGGAACAAACGCAAGCCGGTTTTTTCCTGGGGACAGATAGATAATTGCATCGAAAGGTTTTAAATTAAACAGAATCCTGATCTAAGGATCACGGCAATTGTTACACGAAACGATTGTATTATAATAATACCAAGGATGTACGATGCAAACGGGTTAATAAAGAGAGGAGGGGAATTGTTACCCGGAAGATGGTTGCTGATGAGAAGGACAGCAGGGTCGGGGCCCGTATTCGGGTTTCGGTTTAGGAGGTAACGGAGGACAGGAACCGGTCTGAACGATAGGTGTCGGGCAACAAGTTCTTCCCGATTCTCCGCTTCCATCGATGCACTTTTTCTTGCACGTGCATTTCAAAGGAGTCGGCACGTAGCATTCTGAGGGTATCTTTTTGCACTGGAAGACCGGGCTGTCGTCGATGCCTTTGAAGAGATAAGGTTTCCTGTTGTGCGGAATCTGAAACTGCGTGATGATCTTCTTGCCGAAACAGCTGGCCCTTATGTACACCGTGACGCATCCCACGCACTGGCCAGTCGCGGTCGTGATCTTGAACGTATCTTTGATCGTCTGACACGGATTCGGTATTTTGAACACTTGCTGACTCAGCACGGCGTTGATTATGGCTTTGGCCTCGATCTGGTAACAGCCGACCAGCATCACGTCCGGCAGGACTCCCGGTGGTAGTTTCTTGAACACGGACATCTTTATGGGGAACGTGGTCAACGGCCTTTGAAGAACGATCGACGGTAACGCGAACAAGCAGGATTTTCCTTTCTTAAAGATCTGCGTGTCGCCCTCGGAACAGCCGCAGCCATCCGTCAGAGCGTCTTGACAGATGTCGATGGGTGGCAGACTGAGGATCTACACGCGCATCGACTTTTACTAAAGTTACGACGGAAGTAATTGCACGAAAGAGGAATTACTTGAAACGAAACGCAGGTGCACGCGGGTAACAGTTCGTCGTGCATCGCTCTTATCACCGGGATTTGAACTCTGTCGACGAGGAACTCGATCAAGAATAGTTGCTGGTCGTCTGCCATTTCGACCATGTCTCGACGTTGCAATATTTCTCAAGATTTTCTCATGGTTTTCTCAATTTCCTCGGGAATATTTATCGGTTTAACCCTTAATTTAGAAGTTCCCGTCGAGTCAAATAAATTGTTTAGGTTTAAAAGCTGGTCAGAGGGCGCTCTATTTTCAATTCTCTCGTATCGATTTTTTCACGCTTAGTCGTACAGATTTTGATAGATTTTGGATAAACAGGGATGGAACAAAGATAGATTTCTAGTCGGTTAAATACAGATTTATTAAAATCGCAACGCGAGTACAAAACGAACATCTAAGCGATATCACGCTGGATCGTCACTTCTTCTTCTCCTTCTTGTCGTCTTTTTTGCCCTTCTCCTTCTCGTCTTTCTTTTTCTTCTTTTTCTTCTTATCTTTCTTTTCATCCGTCTGTATTTCCCTGGTCTCACATCTGATCGGTGGTCCTCTTTCGGGTCCCTTCGGTGTTCTCATTTCCAATTGAATGTCTGACTTCTCTCCGGCACCGACAATGCCCTTCTTCCCGATCCTGAGGACGAACACGTCGTGATCAGGATCGCAAGGGACTGGACTGGTACCATCGGTCTCTGGTGCGACCGTAACCGTGGGTTTCCGATCCTGGCCCGTGTCCAGCACACCGGAAACCTTAAGGACCACCGCCTTCCCGCAGGGTTGCGCCGGTCCTCGACTCGACTGGATCAGACCCGGCTGCTTCTGGACGTCCGAGCACATTTCCGGTTTGGATCGCGTCGGCCTGGACGCCGACACCGGTTTCTCACAATCTACGTCGGAAGTCACGTTAGGTTTGAGGACGGCACCGGTAGGCCGCATACACGGTGTGCACGGGTGTTCATCAGGGATGCAAACTTGACACGGTGGTCCGCCCTTGTGCAATTCGTCCAATGAATCTCTACAAACATCCGCTGTCTTCGAGTCGATTATGCGACATTTGTACGCCGGCGACTTGTCCATGGTATCGTCGCCTTTGAAGATGTACGAGGAGACGGTTTTGTCCGGAGGCGCGTCGAACTCCGTGACGATGGTCTGCCCGAAAGCAGATAGCCTGACGAACATGCAGATGCATCCGATTATGGAATCGTTGTAGATCAACGGTACCTCCCCCTCGAACACTTTTGGTGGCGGCGTGAGTTTGTGCCAACACTGCAGCATCTCCTTTCTCAACGCGGCGAAATGCTTCGAGAGATCCAACTCCCCGCTGCCTACAGGCACGTCCGGTTTTACCCCCTCCGGCATCTTCTTGTCCACGCACAGTTTGATTATCAGCTCGTATAGTCTGTTAATGACCGTGTATTGGTCGATGGCGAACGTGACGGATCGCCCGGAGTAAAAGTACTCGACGTCGTCCGCGACGCCTGCCTGCGGATGGAACAAGGGATCCACCGGGGTTATCTCGATGCTGTCGTCCCCAGTGAAGTTGAGAAACTCGATGGTTATCGTTGTAGGCACGAAGAACATTTGGTTGAGCTTCGCCAGACGCTCGCTGGTCATGTGGTGGATGAAGAATTCCAACAGGAACAGGTACTGCTCTTGACTGTCCGGAAGCAGTTCGCGGCTACCGAGCGGGCATACATTTTGCTGGCTTCGCTGACTCTGTTCTCCCTTGCCTTTGCTCTCCTTCGAAGATCTCTTCTTCGTACGCGAACCACGCTCCATCAATGCGAGTCGATCGGCCCGACGACATTAGACTGGCCCATACGATTTCACACCGGATTTATCTTCATTGATATTTACGGATATTAAACTTAGAATTTTTATGGAATCAGGTTAAAGAATTTTCTCGTGAAGTTTGACGCGGGACGCCCGCACGAGGATTATCGATTAGACATGAGATACAACCTCGGGAACCTGGTTCCACTTTTGCTTCGTCGTTATTCGAGCATGTTTTAATCCGAGTCACGATGACCGGCCCGAATCTGAATCGAAAACGTCCAACGCTCTCGCAATCGTTTTTCAACGAAACCTACTCCGACCGATGCTGAACCGCGATAAAATTATCGTTATTAGCCATGACAGAAGAACCGCAATTCCTATGGACCATCGATCGATCATCGTCGACTTCATCGACTCGATGATTCCCTTTCCCTCGATTTTGTAATTTCACAAGTAAACCGTGCTCAAACTCGCCAGTCGATTTAGGAAATATTTAGACATAAAAATGTTTATGGTACATGCGAATAACGAACCGTTCATCGGTTAAAAGTATCCGTAGCGTAATTCCGATGGTATCTAGTTTCCAGAGCCAGCACCTCTTGATTATTACTTAACCGGTATTTCGCCGAGTTTTCGCACCGACGGAATATTCTATCATGGAAAACCGGCTCCCACCCATAAATACGTGGCTAAGCAGCTGAAACCAATCAAACGGACAGTATGTAAGTCTATCGGCAATCGTGTTTGAACACGAGCGATAAGGCCTTTCTGAAAATCTGCAATCTAATGTTTGCTCTAAAAACCGTTGCACCTATTACTATCTACGAACATTTATTTTTTTAAATACTACGCCGTTTCCTGGGTTATAGAATCGATCTAATCCAAGGCCCTGCGTACACATACATGTATACATGATCGTTTCGCGTTCGTTTCGTTGGAAATCAAGTGGCCGCGAACTCAACAAGCGCCGTTTAATCGCGAGAGATCCCCCTCGGTCAATTGCACCGTCGAACCAATGTCGCAATCGAGTTAACGCGGTCGAATTAGATTTAGCCGTTTACGTTACCGTTTGTGTTCCAGTCGACCCGCTGGCGCCGATACGGGAACTCGATCCTTGTTCTCTGGAACGGTCGTTAGCGAAGGAGAAGGAACTGTACGTGGCCTGTCCCACGAAAGATGATGGACTCGTTTTCCGAACGCTCTGTCTTCTGCCTAAACCGGACCGTGATTATCAGCAAGCACGGAAACGATGTCTGTATTATATCCTTATGCTTGCATCGAATTTGTATCGCAAAGCGGTGCTCGATTCTTGTACTACCCCCGGCGAACAGTTTTAATATCATGTATAAGTAATCAGTAAAATATCATGTATTATCAGATAAACGAAGCATACAAAGTCTCTATGTCTGAAATGTTAGCCACTTTAATGTCGTCCGGACCGAGCATTGTTTAAGAACCTTTTGTCAGGGATAGTAACATTGCCGAGGTCCGGGGATCGTCCCGCTTGCCAGATTAGATCATCCGAGTTGTCTGGAATATTAATTGTTTCCCATTTAAAGTAACGAGTGGACAGATACCGGACTCGGCAATTTCGGCCAATCGAACGTCGTCGCGTCGACCGTAAGAAATAATTGAAGTTCTCGAGAAGTAATCATCAGCGAAGCGAATCGTGCTCATGACACTAATTCGTTAATAGTCACGAGTGATTTGTAATCCCAATTATATGAACCGAGTCATCAGAAAAATTAATCTGCTCGCCGATGAATACAGATTTTATGCGCTGATGCAATAATAATCGAATACATAGAAAACGCAAACGCCTGAACGGGGTACTTAAAAATCTGCATTCTATCGACGAGATAGAAGACTTTGCTTCACTATGATTAATTGCTCTTTCTTATCGCGTTTAGCACTTTTTTCGATATTCCCACGATCGCCACAGCACGAATTATGGTACATTCGCGACAGGCGATGGAAGAATTTTCTGAAACGTAGCGGTCCCATCGTGGATTGCACCAAAAAGGAAGAAGTACAGAAGTGAATATCGCGTAATTTTGTTTCGCCACGGTTGTCCAAAGAAATGATATTATCAATAGGGTCGACGATGACGACGACGATGACGAACCATGTGGTTTCTTAAAGGCGAGACACAAGTTTGAGAAACCGAAGAGTCTTCCATTGGGAAACATAAATGATTACACGGTCGAAAAGTTGCAAGAATCTAGTCAGCACGATGCGAAACTTAGCGAGAAGCTTAATATGGATCATCCGAAGAAGTATATACCTGGCGTGATTCATCGGATGGAGGTATCACCGTATTTCCCGTTAAATAATTGTATTATTTTTATTCTGTCTCTAAAAGTGCGTGTGAAGACGAAGGATTATAATCTAACGACCTGACGGAGAAACAACATAAACCGTTTGTCCGTCAGGATGTTAGCGTGAGAATGGCGCATTGGTGGAATTAAATATCCGGAATATCACGCAACGCTGTTCTTTTCCACTGGAATCATCATATGCGTACAAGCTCTCCAGACGTTTCGTCAGCTAAAAATCGTCATTCTATCAAAGATATTATATTTGCAATCGCTGCAAAATAGATCAAGGTCGAAGGTTTTACTACCGCCAAAGCGAACATTTATTCATCCAAAGTATACAATTAAATTGCGATTGATTGAGAAGCCAAATGGGTCGACTTAAAAGTTGATGGGTTCGAGTTCTACCGACACACAAACAGCTTCAAAATCCTCGATCGCTGATACCAAATATTACGATGCTTTAAAAGTCGAGCAAAAAAATGTAGACACGTGGAACGTTTTCCGTAGAAAAGAAGTTGACTTTTGACACGATTATGTGAAAAGCAGCTGCGCTGTGTTTGGCGACCTCGTCGATGCTGTGTACACACGCGAGACGTCACATGCGTTTTACATATGACATATGATTAATCAAGGCTGCGCCATTAGATGCTCGTCGGAAAACGTGCAAAACGAACGCGAGACGCGAAGTTGCATACTAAAAAATGGGTTGTGCGCATTTGGCACCCGTCCACTCGATTTCCCACGAGCGATTTCGCGTCGACCGAAAGTGAATATTCGATTCTGTACCGCAGAATCCAGACGACACGAGCATGCAGGATGCCCTCGAACGAGCGGACGCCTTTAGAGTAGTTTTGAAGATGCACGAAACCCCTTCGGCGAGTCCACCTGTTGACGAACGTGTTTCCTCGAAAGAACATCGTACGTGAATTCTTTCTACTTATATAGTCAGTCACATTTTCTCAGAATATTTTCTGAAAATGACGCGACATCGTTTTGAAATTTCTTAGCACGCGTCTCAGCTTGTTGCTGTGAAACGGACGATGACGTGCAAGTCAAAGCTCCAAAGTATTTTGGCGATGAACGATGGCAACCTCTTCACGAGGATATACCTTTTCCGAAAGAGAATCATAAAAGGCACGAAGAGCTGCGAAAACTGACCTACCCGTTTTTACACGAGCTGCACACGTGGTATTCGAAAAACAAGCCAACGAGATTGATCGTTCCTCTGCGGTCCCCGGGAAAAAGACCGATGCCCGAAATGAGATTTTCCCATTTGTAACGTCGTCCGCGTCTCAAATACGCGTCAAATAACGTCGTATATCAAATAATAATGGCCTAGAATAAGCGAGCAGCAAACGCAAAGTAAAGAATTCGCGTTTAACGTTAGCATTTTACTTAACATTTACGTGGAATATCAAATTACGCTGTGGAAAGCTACGATATGAGATTATGTTCATTTTTCGTTTCATGCTTGCGAATTCCATAGATAATGAGATAGATTTTTGTGCTACAATTTAATGTCTCTTAGTACAGAATTAATTAAAAAGACTGGACGATAAACATCGGGAATAATGGACCAATCGACGCGTTACAGTATTTCCTGCTTGTCACATTCGGCTCGTTTTGCACTTTATCGATTGCCCTTTCCACTCTCGGTACTTATCAATGAAAGCATCAACATTACGCGTGTATGCGCGACGCACCATGAATTGCGATTAATTGCGATAAAAATTACGATATCTCTGTTGAATTAGCGTTATTCGTCACCGTCCGTCTGAAATTTCATCTTTGCGGAAGATAAGAGTAAAATTTATATAACTGAACGCAATACATTTGCAATTACATTGATTCGTTGACATAGAGAGCAATAATGTTAGATTAATATAACGATTCGAATGCCTGATAGTTTATTGGCGCAGATCGTTCAAAACGTGTAATTATATTTCGCTTTATTCGCACGTGATTATGTTACGTAGCTGTGGACATGCCGGCCAGGATTTCATCATAAAATTTTTCCCACGTATTCGCTGAACGAACTTCACCACGCAAGAACCACTCCTCCAACGGCAAATATTAATTCTGTTAGCCTCGGTTACACTCAATTAAATTCGATAATCGAGCGCAAAATCATTCTCTTTTAAGACGGAGAGACAACGCGGGATAGGAGCGATTTAATAACAAGTTCAGAAATCATTTCAACGCTATACAGAAAGGGAAAACTATCTCGTGAAAAGAGTAAATAAAAACTGTTGTCGAAACGAGTTGGTAACTGCGTTTGGGCACGGTTCTGAGACGAAATCGATCGATCAAAATTTAACTCGCCGCGAAACGGCGGCGGCTTAGTAATCGCATCGTAGATGCGCGTACGTATCTTTAGACTGGAACAGAACATTTTAGATCTGTAAGAATCGTTCGATCAATGACATGGCAGTTGAGGAAGAGATAAACGGGAAATTGGAGTTACGGGAAGAGTTCGATATTTGATTACGCTATGCATCTATCCATGCATGTACTGATTTGCTGGGTAGACGGGTGGACCTCTAGCGGTTAGCCGATGAAACGCGGTGGACGCTCTTCCGGGGACTGGGGACAAAAACTTTCAGTTTATTCCCGTTTATTCTTGTCTGGACGGTAGTCTCGGTAGTCTCGTTCGGTCCGTGATCGCGATACATTACGCGGGTACCGCCGGTACTCGTACCACGAGTCACTTTGTGAGACAAATTCGCGTCCTGGTTCTCGCATTTGCGTCGACGATAAATCCGTGGATCCCCGTGACATCGTGCGTCCGTACCGGCGTTTGCCAGAAATGAAGTAACGTTGAGCTACGGGATCCACGCGCCACGCGGCTCCTTCTATACACCATAAAATCCCATCAGAGTGACACTTTCTGTGACAAACGACAGGTACGTGTGCCACTGTTCAAGATTTATTATCACAAAGCGTCGCTATTTAAAGGCAACTTAGCGATTTAAATTACAAAGTAGACTTGCATCAGCCTGCGAACTTCGGAAATGACGATAATGATCAAAGCCGTATGCAATCGATCGATCTCAAAATTAGATCTTTGCGCGGGATACGTTACCTGTGGCAATTGATCGCTATCAACACAGATTTTGTAAGCACTCACATTTGGTACTACGATTGTTATATTATTTTGTTAGAGATCGACGCGGTGCATCTTTTGAATGCGTCCAACGTTCTCCGCGTCTGCTTCCCTAACAGGAAGCTAATTTGAATGGCATCGAAATTTACAATTCTATCGGATTCTACCTTCGATACGTTTCGGGTTTGAGACTTGAGACGCTTTGCGCGCGCGCGTCTAACCGTACAAGTAACCATTCTGCTATCGATGCAATGTTCGCTTTACAATCAAAACGTTTCTTCAACTATTTTTTCGAACATAAATTGCCCAAGGCATCGATGCAATAATACAATTTAGTTAGAGACAAGTTTATGCCATCAAACGTTATCAATCGCTTTAAAAAGTACGTGAATCAAGAGTCTTAAGTTTAAGCATATGTGAACGCGTTTCGTAACGAGTAACGGTTGTTGGTCATAAGCTGAATACGATCGCTAATAATGTTTTAACGACGCTTTTAATAAAATATCTCTCATTTAATTAAGTATTCGAGTGAGGAAACTGTGGTTTCCAGTAGACTTTAGTGATAAGCTCGTAGACATGGCGATTCACCGCGCCAGCTACGAGCACGTGGTGCTAAGTTTGCTGCGTGGACGCGACTTGTATGGCTCGTGCTCCTCATAGTAGTTTCATCGCACGGTAGCTTCGTATGATGTAACTTCGCGTCGATATTTCGGACCTATCCGTTGGTACCCACGCATTTCTACAGTACAACAGATATTGATAGAAGCGAATTCGTTCGTTGCACTCTCCCCAAGACAAAAATCGATTTCCCTCCGTAATGATTCTCTCGCATCATCCTGACACTGCCATCCCTATTAATTATCTTAACTCTGTGTCGATTTCTAGAACCTTTAACGAAAACGAAGTTTCGCACGTGCGCGAGTTTCTTGCTGCCTACTCGAAACGAGTTAATTTTACTTGCTGATGACGTGCGTCACGAAATTATGGGATAGATAGGACATGCCATGGGAAAGCTAATTCGAATAACGTGTTGCATCATGTCGACGTAATCAGTTAAACCGATTGATAGATTAAATTATCATAGTAAGTTCTCATAGAGGAACAAATGCTTTCTTCCAAATAAATTATCTGGTCTAAAGTGAAATAATATGAATTAATTAAATAAGTTGTATCAAATAGACGAACTCGATTTGTGTCGAAGAGAACTTATGGACAAATGTGTCTTCCATGTGTGAAATTATACGGATGTAGGCTTGGGAAGGCGTGTCATTTCTTGGAACCTAAGGGCTGACCAAAATCCTAAATCTCAGGTCAACTCATGATTCTCAAGTTAACGCAGTGTCAGCATCGTGTCTCCTTGAACTCGAGAGGAGAACCGGTCGAAGCCAGAACTATTCAAGAATCTTTATGGACTATGAATAATTTCATTGACCTTGCACTCGCGTCTTATCGTGTGTAACGGATTTACTTTCCTTTCTATTGACATAACCGGTTGATTTATACGACCATTACGTAGAAACTTTCTACTTAACGAACGTTGTCATTTTCGTACGAAGTCCGTGTATTAAAGTTAGAATGGGTCGTTACGAGCTGGCATTGAATTAGGCGGCATTCGCAGACTAAGAATAAGACAAACGAAATTAATCGTCCGGGGTGGTCAATCGTTTGATCGAAAGTTGTTTCGCGTCGCGTCGCTCGTAAAACGAGCCTTGACTTCTATCCTATAACAATACCACGTCGTACAGACGCGAGAATAAATTCGGAAAGCGAGTCTCAAGGTAAGTTAGTTTTCAAACACGTTTGGCAACCTCCAAGTATCACTCTTCGCGTGACGACTGCAGGTGATTACTATTGCAACACGTGTTTATTCGGCACACGTGGCGACACGATTACCTATACCGTTTTTTTGACAGTCTGCATACAGGGTCAACATTTTTTTAGACGAACAAGACATTCTAGTTCCGTGCGATTGTTATTCATATAAAGCATATGACACAAAGCACAATAGGTATTTTGTCCGAAGTTATCGCGGCACGCGTCCTTTTTTATAATTTATCTGTTTCAGATAAGCGTTATTTTACTTCGACAGTTACACAGTTGTTCTCTTGCAGAAAACTAGTAAAAACTGGTTAGTTTCAATTTATCCTTGGAAAAAACTTCGCGACTAATTCTATCGTTTGTTAAACCGATCAACGAAGGAGTCGAGATTTCCTTGTTTTATCGGCGTTTCATTTACACGGCGATGCTAAAAAACGTAGAAAGTAAATATATTGGAATAAATATCGCCGTTTCTTGTTAAGAATGCTTCTACATAAGAGTAATAGTTAGCCTGACGAGAGCGTTTATTGATTATTTAATTTTCAATCAATTTCGTCAGAAATCAATGAAAACGATTGGATCAGTTTTTGTTCTGGTCCAATTAGATGGAACGGTTGAATTTACATACGGATTAACGATAGTTCATTAATTATCGCTAAACATGACTCGGGTTTAAACCATGGTCAGGAGTCAAATGCGGGGTCAGAATCATCGTAACCTTATCTACTTATTGAGGGATACGGTCCGCCGATAGGAATCGGGCAAAGGTTTCCACTGCATACGTGATTTTCCACTACACCTGCGATTCTTTCTACCTTATGTACATCAAGTACCGTCGCATTTTTACCTAGTTCCTCGGTGATTCGATCACGGAATTTATCGTAAAATTAACCGCAATGAACGGAAGGTTAATTCGAAAAGTTGAATGACCCAATTTTTCCAACACACGTTCCCGTAATTGCCGCGTTAACGAGGATAGATCAAAGATTAATTAATAGTAATGCGAATGGTCTAGGATCGCGCCGCTAAGATTATTGCCATAGTCGTCTTATCTGATTTTACGTCATTCCACGGCGAATCCACGAAATATCGCAGAACTCGCCAGTCGTTGAAACATGAAACCGTGCGAGTAACGTCAATTCACATTTCGACGCGTTATCAAACTAACGTAAGTGCAAACACAGTTATATAAGATTACTTTTATTTCACTCACCAAACAGGTGTACATTTTTGCCCCACAAATTATATATAACGCTGATATCTTACAAATAATCGTCGCAGTCACGGCTGCTTTCATGTTCTGACGTGTTGAATGCTAACAAATTGCAACCTCGACTGCCCGTGTTTCGTATCCTTTCACGGAATAATGTCATATCATCGTAGTTAATTACACGTATAAATATCGAGCTGTAATGATATGGTAACTCGATGTTGAAAACAAATTAAATTGTTGAAGCACGATTTTGTGTATTTTCAAAAATTGAATTGTTCGTCAGATTCGAATTCTCTTGTTTCTTCGTCAAGTTCTATTATTGCCATTTATTATTTTACTATTCCATGTTCGTGTCTATGAAAACATCATTTGATGCGTCATACATTCAATTCCGGATAAACGATCTTCGTTAAATTATGCCAGTGGCGTCGCGGTCTAATTAACATATCTGCGATTGTCAGTGCGCGGCGCTTTGAAACCATCTTCAAAGATTCAGTGCGAGCTATTGTTAACGGATGACTATAACAAACTGCACCGTCACGTCGATTATCTCGCGTCACAAGTAATCATAATTTCGTTCCATCTTTCAAGGAATTCGCGGTAGTCTTGCTAATCATGAAATATCTAGGAAAGAATTATTCATACACGCAGATTTTGCCGAAGGTCCAAAATAGATGCTCCGGAGGTATGTGCAAACGAAACGTTTCAAAAGTTAAGTGTACACAATGACGAGGCTAATATTTCATGTAGAGAAACGTACAGCTTTCGGTACCACGATAACCTGCGATCCTGGAATAGTATATTCCATGGTATTATAGAGATAAGGATAACGACGGGCAGATAGTTCGTATTGCAAAAATGTTTGCGCATAAGCTACGCAATATGTGTAATGTACACCTCGAAAGGCAGATACCTACACGCACGGTTTACACGTAAATGGTCATTTGTATCGTGCGCCGTACTTACTTAGATTACCGGTTTTGTTCTGGTAAATGACCTTTCCATGGCAAGTGGGATCTCGATTCGTGTCGTATGTCGAACAACGACCGCGCTATCAATTTTTATCATTACGCTAAAAAAAATGTTGATTTTTTTAGCTTAATCGAGGAGAGAAAGATTTAGACGATTGTTTTGAGATTTATTTTTAAGCTCGACACGCTTGTATCCATTAGCGAGTACCGTATCAGAGATTGCCAACGGTTCTGTATTTTTGAGGACAATGTCCGGAGTTACGTCAAGAATGATCGATGGACAGCGTGCTCAATGGAACATTTTTCTAAGGCTTCGACCACGGCCTGTTCCGTGTGCATCTCGCTTGCAAATAAAAATATGCTCCGGACAAATCATTTTCTGTTAAATATGCATGCGTCCGCCTCGAATTAACGTTCTCCTTACAAAGAGCGAATTTGTAAACGTTATAAATTATGTAAGAAGACCACTGAAATAAATAACATTACGTAAAGCTGAATAGAAATAAGCGTCTAAGCTTAGCTGTTCAAAGCTTTCGGTTAAATCCTTAAGCCTCGAGCAATATTACACTAGAATTTATTACCCTCGAGCAGCTGCGGTCATCGAAAATAGAAGATAGCTTTTTCACTCCTTGCATGTATATCTTAAATAATGGATGAGATTCGAGGTATTATAATCATTTGTATTGTCAAAGATGTTATCGTTATCGTTACACTTTTATCGGTTTTTATGCTAAGTTTTCTCGCCATGTCGTTTCGTATTTTCTCAAGTTGCATTTCCGTGTACATAATTAACGCGCGTGCAAGTCGAATGCAATCTCTGATAATGGTTTACTTTTATATCATTACACATGCTTCGATTTTGTACGAATCGTAGACTATGATTTTTATGGGTAGTTTCATAGTTTCAATGAATGAATGTATGTATGTATGTACACGTTTCGGAGCGTAACTTCACCCGACTTGATATTCAAGCACTAAATACACGTGATATTTGTAGCTAATATTTAATTTTTATGACACCGGTAGCTCTTAAGATATTCGTTACTTACTTTATTCTCTTTCAGTGTACGGTCTCTTATTGATAAGCTACCAACTCGAACGGTATATTTGTACTGCTTAAAAGGCTTTCAGATCTACTTACCGTGTTATTTTATCTATAAAAAGAGGATATTGTGTACATTAAATGTTTTCGAATAATCGATCGGCTTCGGTATCGGAAAGGAGTTAATGATAATAGTATCTTAACAACAGCAGGCAATTAATCGGCATATCGAACTCGCGATAATAATTCCTATTGTGCCGAAATATAAAATTACTTCCTTTCTTGCATGTTAACCAGTAGAACGTGTCGCTTATCGACAAACCCGCGATAGTGATTTGCCTTTTTTCCCATGATTTTGCATTACAAATCGAAGAATAATTAGTTCGGAACTTCGTAAGTTTACGATTTGTACATCGTTACGCCTCTAATTATTTTGCTTTAATTTAAAAATGAGATAAGTCAGTCGTATTACGAATACAGTGAAACTATTATACGATCTATCTAGTGGGAGTTGATTTTAGTAATAATCTTAATCGGTGAACCTCTTTTGTTTCATTGCAGATAACTTACGCTGGAATAAATAATCACGAGTAAATTGCACGTAGATAATCAAGTTGGTCGACACCTATCAAAATGGTATATATCAATGATATCTCTCATAGTCATAATAGCAATGCGATCAAATAAAAAATGTTTATTATACCGCAGGATAACAAAGCCCCAACTGAACTGGAAACCTTCTTGCCCCAAGATGGGTCGAATATGAAAGATGGTGTATTAACAAAGTAAGAATCGATCGAACGCGATTGACAGCGTATAATCTATCGGCATTATTAGTTTCTTTAGCATGACAGTACTTTGCTCGTTGCAGATATAAAGTGCAAGTCGCTCCGCGAGATATGGAAGCCGGACAAGTCGATGGAAAAAGTTTCGATCCCTTCACAGAACGAAGAGTAGATAACCCAACGACGTAAGTTCCGATAAACGTGATCATATAAGGATGTTTAATAAACTCTTGTACCCTCGATGTCGTACCGTATCTCTAATCATTTTTTTACTGTACCAGTAGCAATAGCAATAAACAATAAAAGATTACGATTACGTCAATGTTAAATACCGTGTAGCCAAACATGTTTGTTGATGTCGTTTCAGGGATTGTGACACATTGACGCATTTATTGAAAGCTTCCCTTGGAACGGGTATATTATCCATGCCGATAGCTTTCAAGAATGCCGGCCTCCTTCTCGGTGTACTTGCTACGATTCTAGTGGCATTCGTATGCACGCACTGCGCGTATATTTTGGTAAGGAAATACTAGGCCGCCGAGCAATATAGCGTAAAGAGCGATTATGTAAATCGAATTGGTATTCTAGATAAAATGTGCACATATATTATACCACAAAACGAGGCGTACGGAGATGAGCTTCGCGGATGTAGCGGAAGTTGCATTCGCTACGGGGCCAAAATGGGCCAGAAGGTTCTCAAAACCAATTAGGTAGGTTGCAAAGATCGAAACGTAGAGATCAGGTTTCGTCGGCTGTTATAGTAATGCACTCGTAACGCGTCCACAGGTACCTTATACAAATTAGTTTATTCGCAACGTACTTCGGCACCTGCAGTGTGTACACGGTTATCGTTGCCGCGAATTTTAACCAAATCATCGAACATTACAAGGATGAAGGATCCGGCGAATTCAGTATCCGATTGATGACTGCTATCTTATTAGTGCCTATGATACTGCTCAGCTGGATACCGAATCTGAAGTATCTCGCGCCCGTTTCCATGGTGGCCAATATATTCATGGGAACCGGTTTAGGAATCACGTTCTATTATTTAGTTATGGATATCCCATCGATCACCTCTCTACCCTTGATCGCCCCCATCGAGGATTTCCCACGGTTCTTCAGCATTACGATTTTTGCAATGGAAGCAATAGGTATGCACTCGATCGTTTAGATTTAGATGATAACTCATTTTCATATAGTAATTACTATTCGTCATTCCAGGCGTCGTAATGCCACTGGAGAATAATATGAAAACGCCGCAACACATGATCGGTATCTGCGGCGTTCTGAACAAAGGAATGTCCGGGGTTACGCTGATATACATTTTACTCGGATTCTTAGGATACCTAAGATACCAAAATGATACCATGGACAGTATAACTTTAAACTTACCCACCGAAGAAATGTAGGAATAATGAATGATTATGATGATCGCAACGAAATCACGGCCGAATATTAATCGTAACGGTTCAATGTATATTTTCAGACCGGCTCAAGTTGTCAAAATCTTAATTGCTCTAGCTGTTTATTGTACGTTTGGATTACAATTCTACGTGTGTCTCGACATCGCGTGGAACGGTATAAAAGATCGGTTCCAGAAAAAGCCGGTGTTGGTAAATTATATTTTAAGAACGGTCATGGTTTCGGGCGCAGGTAAGATTTTTACTTTTGTTACACGCCCGCTATAACCATTTTAGGTTTCGATCATTTCTACAAATACGGGTCGTTTTATGTTGCAGTTTTATTGGCGGTCATTGTCCCAACCATCGAACCGTTTATTGGGCTGATCGGGGCATTTTGTTTTTCGATACTGGGTCTTTTAATCCCTGTATTCATTGAAACGGTGACGTACTGGGAGGTTGGATTCGGGCCAGGAAACTGGGTAGCATTGAAAAACATAATTATATGCGTCATCGGCATTATGGCTTTAATATTTGGATCTCGCAGCGCGTTTATACAAATCGCCGCGCTGTATACCTAAGAGAATTTGTTTTTTATCTGCATAGATCTGTAGATTTTCGAGGCTGTTCAACATTTTCTAATAGTTCTATTATTTTACGACAATCACGGGAATCAAAACAGTATGTAAAGATCGAGACGCTGACTTATTTTGTAAAACGTATACGATCAATGGAGAATCGTATCAAAATTTAGATACAACACAAACCTACGCTTACGAGAGGGGTCTAGTAATGTACTCACGTAGATTATTTACGTGGGCAACAATCGACGAACAAATCTTGGGAAGTCGACATTCAGTATAGTTGAAATAGTATACGCACAAATAGTTTGTACGATAAGAAGAGTAATAATGGGGAAGGTTATATGAAAAGATTTAATCGTTATCAGGTGGCTAACGAGAGCAAACCTAATAGTAAACTTCGTTCCTAAAACTTAAGACATAAGAAAGTCTATTTAATTCGTAGGAAAGAATAGACTGAGAAAAACTGACAGTATTTATAGGAAATATTTTACATCGGAAGAATATACTGCAATTTTAATCTTATACTGATCTTGATACATGCTATTTATCGAATGGAGCAGGCACTTTCAATTTTAGTCAGTCCTTTTATAAACACGAACGCGCATTATTTGGAATACAATTTTTATACATTATTAACAATCAAATCTTAAAGTATAACCTTCGTTTTTTTAACTTAATATAAGTTATCGTCATAGTAAGGTTTGTTGTAATATTTGAAACATCTATGAGCAGATCTTTTAAATACATACATAAACGTGTATGAAGTTCAAGTTGCCGTTCAATGTTTCACGTGTATGGTGAACAGTGCGAGAAATGTTTCATTCATCTATGCTGCATTTAATATCAGTGTATAATTGAAAAAAAAATGAAACGAGCAATTTTTGCTTATCGAACTCTTGTTATAAATTAAAGAACTTTTTATACAATTGTTGGAAATTTTTACATATTGCTGGTAAAAGAAGAATAATGAAACGATTACGATCCTAAAGTATGTATCATTTTATGGCCTTTGTATAACTTGTCCTATCCTATCCTTACCACTACGTACACGATGCAAAATGAACATATCTTTACATGAGTCTTATGCAAGTAACATTTTATACTATTTACTTTTCTAACGGTGCGTAATTCAACAACTTTTCAATTAAATCTACGTGTCCAAGAAGCATTCTGCGGCAGCAGTATCGTTTTAAACCCAATGCGTCAAGAGCATCTCTGTAACACACGAATAGGTTCGAAAAAGTATATTAGTAAAAATCATTTAAAATCAAGTTAGTCTATTATTCGTATCATTTATTTTTCGTGTTTTCATATATTCGAGGTTAGCTAACCACCGTAGGTGATGTACAAAGTTTACGTACTTCATTTACAATGTATTTTATGTAGTTTTATGCAAAAGTTATTAACTACTTACCCTTCGGTGTATTCTGCCTGCAATAAACCGAGGTATGCTTCCCACTTGTTGCCGATCACTTTTCCGCAAGTAAAGCAACGTACCGGTATAATCATGTTCTCCGAGTTTATTCAGACCGATATATAGTTTAAACTGTCCGTTAACGGTCGTATTAATCGTTATTGTCTAAGTTTTACGAGTGTCCGTTAGCGGATAATTCCAAGTCGTCGAAAACTCGATGCCACGGTACAACGTGTCTTCAATAAACAGAATTCGTGTGTTTTGAATCATGGATTTGACGACTGATTCAGGTTTCGCTTTATCAACTATAGGGTACACTACCAGTGGCCCCTCTCACAGCGATGCGGAGCGTCTTTGAGGAACGAACTCTTCCAATCCATGCTAATATACGCATTATTGCTAGCAGAATAATAATAGGTAACGAGAACACAGTTTTAAAGTAACTTTTTTACGAATATATATAAATGACTTGAACGAATACGAAGGATTAATCGTTGATACGTATATGTGTAGCGATTCTTCAATGAGATATGTATCTAATGTAGTCAGTTTGCATTGGGCATTTACATGTTTAGATGCCAGTCCTTTAAAATCAGGACAGTCAATAGAACGTAGAACGTATATTATGCGCTGTGACATTTTTTTTTTTTGACAAAGGTAGCATCGACTAACTTTAAGAAGAACGAATTCTCTTTATCTAAGCATCGTTAGGGTGTGTATTCCTTTTTAACGGTATCCGTTGATCATCAATACGTATGTGTACATTGTGTTGTGTACTACAAATATATATTTACTGATCAGTGTTGATTGACGATAAGGATAGATTAATTGTCTATTGGTATCAATCTTCTAAATACGATACAATATACGAACATATAATATGATCGTCGACGCATGCCGATATATCTATGTAACGCAGCAGACAGATCAAGACATATTTCTTTTAATCGACTCGCGTTGATAATGCATGATGCGAATATAATATAAGGGATAATAATATTTGTTAATTTACGTAAAGTAGTAGTGTCCTCAATTCGGATTAGATAGTGTAGTTCGAAAAATACAAGGTTTATGTTTCCCGCGTCCGGGATCGGAGACAAAGAAAATGGAAGTGGTGGTAGAAGCTGAAGCCGAAGCCGCGGCCGCGGCGCCAGCAAATAGTCAGTGGCTGCTCCGATCGAAGGACATAAGTAGGGGGGACTGGAGAGAGGAGAGGGAAAGAAAGAGAAAAATAGGAGGCCGAGGCAAAGGGAGAACACCATGCCATAAACATACAAGATCGGATTGGTTCTGCTTTCTCCTTTGTCTGCTGGACGGAAATATGTCATAAACGGTCAGGGTGTTATAAGATTGAGTCGTTCACTGTTGCTATTCGAGTGCGCGGGTTCACAACACCAAAAACAACGGTACGTGGATTAGAAAGGGCGAAATTTTGGTGCCGTGCGGACCGACGCGACGTCGAGTGACAGCGTGAACGGTTATGTTAGCCGAGCAGACATTCAGTACGCGTTCGCTCCGATACTACGACAGACCTGTGACTCGTTCTCGTACACGATCGCGCACCACGATCTTCTGGACTTTACGTGGAGACCCGTGATCACAGTGAGAAGAATACCAGCGAATGTGAAGTCAAGGTTATATCCAGTGCGTCTTTTTCGCTGTATTGTCAAAATCAGCTGCCATTGCTATAGCGTGCGTTTCTACTTGTTCGTTTCGGTTGTTCTTTTTTTTTTCCCTGTGTTCATTAATCGTTCCGCGCTCGTCGGCTTTCCAAAATTTCATTCAGAGCCGACGATATTCTTATTTTTGCTAGTTTATAGCCTTGCGGCGGCAACTCAATCGTACATATAGAATCGGGTAATGTACTAACGTGTGTTTTCTAAACCCTTCGTTCGACCGAGTTTCTAAACGCTGACGGGTTTTATGTGTATCGCGAATTAATCTTAACATGTTTTCTGTATTTGCGTTTCCAATTGTTTAATATTTTATTTGTGCTTATCAAATAGCTGTACTCGTCTTGGCTCGAGTGTGTACTGCTAGTATTACTGTGTATACATGCACTGTATTGGAAAGTAACTTTAACTTTCAATTATTTGTCATATGAGAATAGACGAGAGTATAAGTAATCGTTTGAAGTTCCATACACGCGACTTATTGTTACATGCGCGATACAATAATCATGAACATTATTTAACATCGAGAGCCTATATATACCTAGTGGTTATTTTTCGCTTATGCATATGTAATGTACGTTACAGATTCCGAGGATAGATATCGTATGGGGCATCTGTGTTGAAAGAGACTGTATTCGGCCTCGCTGAAGTACTTGCTGAGAGAGCAGACTTGTCAATTGTCAGAAAGAAACGGGTGGAAAAGGAATTTTCATCAAAGAAGAACGCAGAGCCTAGAAGTGAGAGTCGAAGGCTACAGTGGTAAATGCAGTGGTGGAAGGAGAGATGGATCCAGCAATGTTTGTCGCATACACTCCGCAAACGAATGGTGTTCCACTGGAGTCGAAGCTCGCTACCTATATGGTAATATATTACTCATCAATCTATTTGTACAAAGTCGAATTTTGTAAAGATGCTTCATATCATGTACGATTATAGATTTGATCGGATCGCGTAAATTGTATCCTCGAACGATATCAGGAATACATATTCACTTGTCTTTTTTTCGCATTTTCGAACAGAATCGTCAAAGTCCAGGGATAACTCTAAGTACCGCAGCTGTTACGAAACATTTGTCAAACCTTTCTCTGGATCCACAGAAAAAGGTAACAGCCAGTCCAGAGTTTGTACCTGGGAGAAACCTTTCGGGTAGCAATAGCAGCTCCCCGAATCTTTTCAATAATTCTTATCATTCGCAAGAAAATGTCGGCGGTACAACATATTTTTACTTGGGGAATGCATCGACAGATACTGTCGGATCCGAGGAAGGAACCGAACCGGTACGGAACCATTTAAAAACGCTCGTCGATTCGTTTTTATCAATCATGTACTAATCAAAGATTTGTTTCTATCGATAGATTGGAACGGTGGCAGGTCAGGTAGGCTTCGTCTATCCTGGTACACCCTCGCATCTGCAGCCGGTGAAACCTGTGACGAAACCTCCGTCATCCAATAATTCTTCAGCTCCCTCGACCCCACCGCCCCAAGCAACACCTAGTTTCTTTGTTAGTGAGAGTTTGCGAATGGACATTCTTCAGAAGAATGCTTTGACGTTAGCGCAACCCGACGTTGTACGATTCCCTGATCTACCGAACGAGGTAGATAATTATCACGAGCTGTGCCCGTTAGAACCGATCCATAAACCTGCATCGTCTATGCTTGGGTATCAAACTTCGACGTACAAAGCAACTAGCATCAAAACTGGAACGCGTTATTGTCTACGACGCATACATGGTGAGTATCCTCCTATTCTTATGATCTGTGCACAGGAAAATCTAGAAGCATCAAGGTAAAAGTCCGATATGTTTTCAGATTTCAGACTTGCCAATACGAAGTGTATGGTGCTGGTAGATATGTGGAAGCGATTGTCGCACACGAATCTTGTGCAATTGAGAGAAGTTTTTACCACCAAGGCTTTTGGTGATCATTGTACGTATCAGTATATTAAAAAGCGATTGATAATCTTTAAAAAGCATTGCGCGTAACAACATTATTATTATTATTATTTCAGCCATGGTGTTCGTTTACGACTATCACCCCGGATCGGAAACGTTGCTAACCAAACATTTCTCGGCAACCGAGTTAAACGGTTATACAGATCCATTCTCGTCGGATCCGAACGCTCCCCGACCGTATAGTCATACCAAAAACACTATCTTGAGGCAACAGCATAGCAGTATGCTACCGGAAAGCGTCATATGGAGCTATATAATTCAACTCACTGCCGCCCTTCGTGTTATACACGCCGCTGGTTCGTATTCCTCAATAATATTCTCTGCATCCTGTACAGCTTATTTATATCACGGATCGTCGGGCAAACAACTTTTTTTTGTACCTAGGTCTGGCGTACCGGTGTTTAGATCCTACAAAAGTGTTACTCACATCGCGAACGAGACTACGTTTAAGTTGCTTAGCTATACCCGACGTTGTTACCTTCGATGGTAACGCGGCGAGTCCAGTGACGCTGGTACCGCATTATCAACAAGAAGATTTGATCGCTCTAGGAAAGTTGGTGTTGGCGTTAGCGTGCCGCAGCCTTCTTGCCGTCCATCGCGACAACATGCAAGCTTCCCTCGAGCTCGTCTCGCGTTCCTATTCTACGGATCTTCGAAACCTTATTCTGTACGTATACGTTTTGCTTCCCTATTTTATCAAAGTCTTTACGAAATGAATAACCGACGAAAGGAAAACAAGTGATGTACACGATATTATTTTACAGGTATTTACTCTCTAATCAAGCACGAAGGACCGTGACAGATCTCATGCCGATGATCGGAGCAAGATTTTATACGCAATTAGATGCGGCTCAGCTCCGATCCGATGTAATGGAAAACGAACTTGCCAAGGAGCTAGAAAATGGCAAATTATTTAAGTTACTCGTAAAGTTGGCTACTATTAATGAGAGACCCGAGCTTAACATGGAACCCACGTGGGCGGAAACGGGTGATCGATACATGCTCAAACTGTTCAGGGATTACGTTTTCCACCAGGTAACGGCTGATGGAAGACCGTGGTTGGATATGGCACATGTTGTTTCTTGCTTGAATAAGCTAGATTCGGGCTCACAAGATAAGGTATTGTTATTTTTAAAAACTATTATTTTCGATAAAGTATTTTTCTCAATTTTGCATGAAATAAATAATGATACAAATTTTCGAACATTTTTTTTCTAGATATGCTTGATGTCACGAGACGAACAGAGTGTGTTAGTAGTAAGTTACGCAGAGTTGCGACAATATTTGGAAACTTCTTTCGGAGAGCTATTACAATCCGCGAAAGAAGCTGTCTAGGTCTGTGTCGCATTTTTCCTCTTTTTTTTTTATTTCTCAATCGACCAGGACAGTTACATACTCCGAACCATAAATGTGATATCACCATTTAGCGGTACTATCATTTTAATCTTTATCGAGACACAGGAGAGTGAGATTTTGGGGCGGAGGATCACGTTTGGTGACAATGAAGTACTAGTATGCGAACTCAGTTTGTAAGCATGATTTTCAAGTGTTGAATCGAGACACGTGCGAGATGTATTCTGGTACTGCCAATCGAATGTAATATATTATGCGTGAATGAAGGTCATGTGATCTTGTAAATTGGGAAGCGTTTGAACTTGCTACGGAAGCTATTACGGTACTATACGAGGCAAATAACAACAAAAACGAACACAACTTAATAATGCAATGGAAGTCTTAAGGAACCTTAAGAGAAAATCACCTAAACACAGTCAGTGTATAGGATAGATCTTAGTTTTTAGGATACAGCTGGTAAGCATTAATTTTGAAATAAATGTTTATTTTTGAAAGCAATCTTAATCAATCGTGTGTAATTATTTCGCATCGCGAAATGCCACAAAAGATTCCTTTCAATTTTGTCTTTACGTTCCAAACACGCGAGATCCGTTCTGTTCCATTTGTTTCAGTTTATCCGGCCGGCAATCTGTAGATTCGGTTCTTGAACTGTCCTATCCTCGTACCCTGCCTCTCTTCTCCTCGTCTCTTCGGCTGCTGTCCGCAATCACTCAAACTTGATCTCATTTCCTTCGCGCAATTGCACGACCACACTACAGGGCCTGTACTACAGACAGACTCTTTACGCGTACACAACCATTCCATCCTATCATCCGCACGATCGTCGGCTACCCCGTTTTATTCGCAAAATTCAACATTAAACCGGTAGGTATACTTTTTCCTCAGCAGCGTCGGCCTTCAGATAATATTTGTAGATATTTCAAACAACGACCTTCGTGTATACGTGCGAATGGACGTACGTGTAACTACTTGATGATGAATGAAAATTGCGCGATTATACGATTTACAATACGCGTCACATTATTCCTCGTTTCCAATGCTCCGCATCGACGCCCATGCGTTCACTTATCCTACGTACGTTCTGCGAAGCGAATAAAACTTGCACGTGCGTCCGTGCCCGTGCGTGTACATAGACAGTAGGACATACATACATACCCGCATTAGACATCCGTCGTTTCCGTCAAAGACGACGCATCAATTCGAACCCGACTTTGAAACTGTTCATTCTCTTCATCTAATTGCCTTAACGCTGACGTGATTTACTCCCTCGTACCGTGTGTCACTTCTAGCAATCGTTACGTATCAATCGCGTACGCGTACCACGATCGCGCGTAAGTCTTCATTTTATTCGACGTCAACCCGCTAACCCAGAGCCGTCACGCGAACCTAGCGTGCCTCTCTTCTATCGCGATCGGTAGTAATTATTTAAATACAAACGCGCGTCTCTATATCGAGTCGCAATTGAACGGATTCGTCGCATAAGCCCGAAGACAGATCGGAGATACTAGCCACCTACGTACATATAAATATAAAAGGATCATGACACGTGTTCGTTCGGAATCCAATTCCGCGGGTTGTTAAGAAACGCCGAACATGCACGGGTCACGGGAGCAGCGAACCTCCGCGCAATTCAGGCGATTTTTTCTTTGTCTGGAGGTCGTCAATTTGAATTGTTCCATGCTAAAATCTCGTGAAAAAATCGGTCTCGTTACTGCCCACTTTGCTGGACTGCGAATCGCGAGTCGCGACGATTTGAGCTGGTTGGGGAAGAACGTCTAACTTCTGCGTTCCGAGAAAAACAGGGTAACCAGAGAAACGTGCTCGGTACGCGATATATGGCGTGTATGAGCGGTTCGTCTGGTCGTTCTCCGCCTCTCACCCGTTCCTGCTCGTTGACTTTCGCGAAGTCGAGACATTCCGCGATAAAAAGGTTTTACCAGAATTCACATATCGGGCTGTGTGGGTCGAACAAGAACGCGTCCCGACCATTGGTCAACGTAGAAGTTCGTTAACGCGAGTTTTTTCTTTCTCCCCGTTAACGGTGAACCGTTCGTTCTACGATCAGCTCCGTGCACGGTCGCAGACGCATCGTGCACCACCATGTTTTGCATCCGATTCGTTCGAATCGATATTCTTGCCCGCTCTCTCGCCAGTTGCGGTTTAATCGCCGCGTTACAGAGATTAATCGTTCGCTAGATACGAGGGACAAGTTATCGGATAATGTATGTGTGTCCTGGTAAATTTACGCGGGAACGGCGGTCTGCGCGGTTTACACGGGATGTGAAACGCTTATCGAAATACATTTTTTGTCCCTTTGCTCTCTCCTTTTTAATTAGCGAATGCAAATAACGGGAAAAATGAAAATCTCGAGCAGCTTAGTTACTCTTTAAACGTGGCCGTAATATCTTACGAGCAAAGTCGGCGGTCGTAATCCTCGCAATCCGAACGGTGGAAAAGGAACCGCAACGATGAAAACAAACTTTGCCGAGACTCGAAGAGCACGAATTTAATTTTATCTCGGTTACGTTTAAGTACCGCGCTGTCCCCATAATTTTCATTTCTCGCCAGACCACGTATACTCATCGATTTGTGTCTCTGTTAGTATCTAACTGTAACGTCACAGTTAACTCGTCTCCCAATTAACGTTAATCCCTTTTAAACTATATCAAACATCGTTAAAGCCTGACAATTTAGCGTGTACGTGTCTGAGGGACATCGATTCCTATTTACTCCCCATATTACTTGCACGTTTTAATTCGTTTCTCAGTTTCCTTCTCCGAGCTAATCCTGTCGTTTCGCTTAGCAACAGTATCACGACCCCAGAATATTTGTTGGTCTCGTGACCAAAAACTAATTGTAAGACCGATTACCTAACTTTCAAATACCGTGCTCAATGATATCTTTACATAAAATAGCATTATTAAAAAAGTACACTTCAGTCTCGCGTTTGTATCGTTCGCTCATAGACGGTATTTTCGCATCTGTGGGACGTATCTGCCCATCTCGTTCGAGCGATGGGGACACGCCAACGTCGCCGACAAAGTCGCCCCAATACACATCGGATATCAGATGGATTTAACGGTGACCCCCCGCGCGAGAAGATTGTCGCTGCCCAGAAACTCGGAGGGATGGTTGAGAGAGAAGAGAAGAGCGGCGTACGAGGATAAGAAGAGATCGGCAAGAGGTGGCAGTCGTAGTGGAGGTGGTAGTAGCGGCTCCCCTCTCTGGCAGCGGCAGCGGTAGCAGGAACAGCAACACGTAGTACACGGTAACCCTGTGACGAGGACGCAGTACGGTAGTACGAGTTCGTTAGCCACGGTCGCTTTTGGTAGTCCCATAGACTAGCTTTGAATTGAACCACAGTCTCAGTCTCGCTCGGTCCAGCGGCGCAGTCGCCGTTACGCGTACACATTTTTTCGTATCTACCACTCCGACCACTAGCACCACCGCCAGCGTCGCTGTTACCACCGCTACCACCACCTGGTCATCGACGAGCGTGTCAACATACACGTTAAACGTCACCAGGACCACCGAGCCATCCGGTTAGCTCCTGGGAAATAACGAACGAACGTCCTAGCATCGTCGAGACGGCGCGAGGTAAGCGACATTTTTACACGATCTTCTCTTTCACGATTTACGGGATAGCGTCGGTGTTCGGTGAGTGAAAATGGTGGCTGTACAGATGCGCGTCCTTAGCATAAGACGCGAACGAACATCCCCCGTAGTCAAGAGCACCTTTGTGTCTTCGTTCCATCCGCTCTGCGTGTATCTCCATCGATTTTCGTCGGCAAGACCCGCCCTGTAATTTTCTCGTTCTCTCTCGCTCGCCGTAGTTTTGCCTTAACGCGTTTATCGTTTCGCGTTTAAAGTCGAGCGAGAAGCTGAGTTCAGACGGATGAGATATCGCGTCGGATTCCAGAAACGCGACCATCATTCTTCCGACTATATCGGAAACGAGTCGACGAATCCTTTTTTTCGACGAGCGCGCGCGTGTTTGCCCGTCGCGCGACTCGCGATCGATGCTCTCGTATCGGCTTCTCTCTTTCCTTTCAATCTTTCACCCTCCGTCTACGAAACCATCCGGTGCTTGTGGTTGGTTGTTTCTGTTACGCTCGCTAGCCGTTCCGTTACACTATGCAGACAGCCTCTCGATGGACCACGCGCGCTTTATTTATCGATTTTCGATGGAACAAGTAAATCGATCTGATCGCGGTATTCTTCTCATTGCCAGACGTCTCTCGTCTTACGGCTTAAAAAAGAATACATGTTCTTTCGCGTATTGAATATTTTGCTCGTGATGCGATTTACTAATGAATTTAAAAAGGGACGAATAAGTACGGCTAAATATGATAAACGACTTTCTTATTGAAAGTCTGAATGTTTAACTTGGGTATAAAAATAAATGGAGATGCATCGCCGGAGCGGCTAACGCGTTTTTCCGAACTCCGAGCCGACTGTTTACGCTCGATAGTTTTTGTCCGTTGTTTTTCTCGCGGGTCGTCGGCGAGCGCCGAGACGAGGCACGATCCGCATCTCGAATTACACACGGTGAACCCTGTGAACAGAAAGAACTCGTTCGAGGAACTTTGCCAACGTTTCGACCGACAATTTTAAAGTACGTAGTTCAAAGTTTTAGAGAATAACAAGTAACTACAATTAATAATTGTCGGATCAATTTCTTTCCGAGAGTATTTGATAACTAATTAGATAATGTCAATAGTGACTAAGCGTCGTGAGATCGGATATGGGTACTATTACACGATACAGCGAAACCCGTATTTAGATAAAAGGTTCCTTATTCCGTGCGACGCTTTTTCAATGCTTTCTTGTATTCGAACACTGGAGCTCGTTTATCTTGGTTAGTGTTCGAGACGAATTCAATTAAGGATATTGTATTTTTTTCGTGAAAAATTACGAAGGAAACCCTGGTATTTTATAAAAAAAAGTGGTAGGTATGTACGCTAACAGTACTAACAGCTCATCGGCTTCCACGCATAAGCTTCTCCTATCTCTCGGCCCTTTACGTAACAAGATTTCCTTAACGCGAAAAGTGTGCGTAATACGCATTTATCTCCGACGGGGATCGTTCGTGGGAGAGGGTCGTCCGATGCTTAACGATTTTTTTTCAAGCCGTATGCGTCATTCCCCGTACGTTACGTGTGTTAATTCATTAAAGGACATCGAGTAGGCGACGCCGATGTTGCGTCGACCCTTTGAGGCGGATAACGCATCGGACAAAAACACGTCGATCCGCGTTATCGATCATTTCTTTTCCTCCTCCCCGTTCCATGAAAGTCGACGAATTCAGTTACTACCTAGCAGCCGGTTTAAGGATGTATTGGCTATACAGTCAATCCCAAAAGTTTATGTTCCTTAGAAAAACGCGTTTCCTATAATTAAAAAGAAATCAGACGTCGGAAGTATAATGCTAATAATAAATAGCTACGTGCTAAAAAGTATAGATGGAAATATCCAATTAAGTATTGACGCTGACGAAAAAACTTTTTTTTCTCAAAATATCGAAAAATACTTCAAATAAAAGTTGTTTGTCTTCTAACTTCGATATTTAACGAGTTACGTATGATTATTTGGCATTTTATTGATGTTGACAAAATCCGACCGTTCCAGCGTCGAAACGGCGAACTTCTGGAAAAAAATTTCGTTTTTCCTCAATAACTTCTAAACCGTTGAATCTACGGGAAAATTGTATAGGACCTTTCTTGTAGAGGACGACGAGATTTACAATTTCTGTATAAAAGTTTTTCGCTAGCATTAATATTGAAAGAGTTATGGACGAAAAACGAAAAAACAGTTTTTTACAAATTACTCGTTAACTATGGACGCTAGCGAGAAATTTTTACATGGAAATTGTAGATCTCATCGTCCTCTACAAGAAAGGTCTTATGCAATTTTTTCGTATGTCCAACGGTTTGGGAGTTATTGGCCAAAAACGAAGATTTGGAAGAAATTGAAGGGGTACCCCTTGGAAAAATCTCGGAAAAATCGAAAATTTTTTTTTGTTGTTTATTATTAGCAATATTTTTCCGACGTCTGATTTCTTTTTAAAAAATGCGTTTCTAAAGTGCATAAAGTTTTGGGATTGACTGTAGCCAATACATCCTTAAACAAAAACTGGGAGAGAACAACGGTGCTCGTTAGTGGTTGTTTTTAGTTGTAAAATGCGAACCGTGTAATTCTCCCGTATTCTGTAAACGCGTCGCAACGGAAGGAGGGCTACCCAAGAACTTTTCTCCGTGTATTTTCAACCACCCACCGCGTCGTCGAAAGAAGTGTTTTAATTCGCGTCCCCCGCAGATGGTTCTCGCGATGGACGGCGAATTAATCCTCGCCAAGAGCTGACAATGTAATGGAACGAACAAACCGTTTTACGGTAACTTAACAATATTGGTAGGTCGTGGGAAAAGAGGAAGAACGAAACACTCGTCTAAATATCTGAACTATCCCATGTTCCAATTTGGACGAATAAAATTTCGTTGTGGAATTTATTTATACCATTCGATTTATCAAATCTCTCGTTTATCTGTGTTTACGTTGCGAGCAACGTTTTTATCGTGTTAATTAAGGATGTTCGCGGTTCGAAATTTTTCATGAACATCCGCAGTTTCAAACGATAAAAGCGCGTATCTGTGTGTCCGTTTTTTGATCAATGGGGAGGGAAGAGGGAAGGTTTGTCGTCGAATTAAGTTACGGGAGAGTAATTCGAGGGGAAATTGCGTGCGATATTTGTTATTGCCGTAGAACAATCGTGTTACGGGCGAGAAACGGAGGGTGACGAGATGCAGAGGGAAAGAAAGAGTAACGAGAAACGGGGCCTCGGGAACATGTGCGATAATAATTGACGACGTCGTGTTTTATCGCGTCGAAAAAGGTTTCACGATGACATTGTGACACGCATATTTTTCATACACGGAGAGGAGAGTCGGAGTTTCGGCCACAGGAAACTATCTCGATTTTCTTTGACATCTCGTGCACACACGAATATAACGGATAGTATAGGTTGATGTATGAGTCTTGAAGCGCGAGTGACACTCATTTCGTGATTTCCTGCTTATCGCACTGTCTACATTTATTCTTAGCACCCGATGACATTCGTCCCTTCTCCGTATAGATATACGTACGTACGTAGGTTAAAATTACAATACGATTCGAGCATCTCGAACATTTCTTGACTCCGAATTCAGACGAGATCAACGCTCGTAATCGTGACTTTTTTTATTCACCGAATTGAGACGGGATCAATGTTCGTAATCGTAACTTTTAAAGACTTAAGTCACGCGTTAGACTTTGTACACGGGTATACTTACATGGTTCACATGGTTAAGAGTACGCGTTTGAATAGAACCGTATCGTGACCGTGTTATCTACCACGATCATATTTCCCTCTTTAATTAACCCTAATTCGCGATACATCTGGCGACTGGCGACACAGTTGCCACCAATTTGCTGGCGTCTCGCGTTCCCTGAGCAGTTTGTCGAATCGACGGCACGATTCGCATCGTGCAGCTAAATTGTCAGCAAGATGGTATCGGCTATAGGCACTGGGGAGAGTCGCGATCGAGGTCCATTGTCGGTATCGTTACCCACATACCACGTCATGCGTATAACCATAGCGAGCTGCTCGGTTCAATGGATTTTCATCGAAAAAAGCTCCTCTATGATGGCGCGTCGTAATTCGAGCCCAACTATTTTTTATTCTCCGAGCCAGGAAGAAAGAATAGGCGCAGGACGAGGATCGGGAAAAAAAAAAACCCGATAAACGAGGGAGAACGTCGACGTAATGGTCGCGTTGATTAGATGCGCTTCAAACGCTAATGTTACCTAGTTTTTCCTATCAAAAGAGAGACGAATCTTGTCTCGCCTACGGCCTACGCAATTACAACGTCCCTCGTTGAAAAGAGTTTCGACGGATTTTCTATTCGCTTTTGTCTCATCTTGGCGTAATTATTTCGCAGAAAGGGACGCTTCTAGTTGTTTCGAGGACGAATTTATTTACGTGGTCTGGAAAGTTGTTCAAGCATCGAGTGTTTGCGGGGTAAATGATCGAGCATTCCGCTTGAGGGAAGAGTGACGGAGGCAAGTGGATGTCGCGCAAAGCAGAAAACGCGGTTATACTGGGTGCCGGATATATTGTATGGAAATGGCGTACAGTTCACAGTTTACGCTATCCGTTTCTCCCTTTACTTATAGGATAAACGCGCCTCGCTTCACCTCGGCTTCCTGTTTTCCTTCCGTGCATCCGAACAGGAAGATGTAAGATATATGTATTTGTCCTAGTCGGAATTTCAACACTTATCATCTACTGTTCTTATTACAATTCAGAGGAATGGTTTTAATCGATACAGTTAATATCTGAAATTTTAACCCCTTGAACGACAATTTATTTTCAGTCAGCACTTGAAACAGGAAAGTTTATGACGAGCTGGACTCGTCATTTCCGTTCAAGGGGTTAAAATTGTATTATGTATCTTAGAGCATTATTGTTAAAGTGAGGCGCGCAACTTCCGGTTCTCTCGACACGTGCGAAAGATGCGTTCTCTCCCTTCGACCCGCGAAACTGCAAACTCTCGTTCTCTTCG